ATTTGGCCCTATTCATCTTCGAAGGTTCCATTCCAGTTATCGATCCATCAAAAAATATATGGACGAATTAGTAAAAAAAAAAGGAAAAATTTAACCAATTAATACATCGTAAATCTACTTCTAAACCAAACGACTACGGACTCGATAAGGGTTCACTGATTCCCACATAAATGGTTTGGTGAATGATAATAAAAAAACTGCTGTTCTATATTTTCTGCAATTTCGTAAGTCTGCTGCAGATACCTGCGATAAATAGTAGCCGCACCTTTCTCTCGAGTCGCCTCCCGGCTTATACGGGGGCGGCGACGTAGTCGTAGCCCCACAGTATGTTTTATACGATACGTACATCTCAATCATTTTTATTTCGATTTGCGCATTGCGCTATTCACTGAACTTACAAAGGAAGGGGCGGTATATTATTATTATTGGAGCTATGAAAAAAACCTCAGCAAATATCACCGAATAGAACTTAAAAATATTATTTATATGGACATTTTGAATTTAAAAAATTTGTAGAAATTGCCTCAAAGCTTAACAACGATGTTTCATTGATATTTTTATGAAGGCGTAATCCAATCCTCTATTTCTAAAAAAACAGGTAATATTTGCTTGGAATAAATGAATTTTAATAATAACAGAAAATATTATTTTTACAATTAATTGTATATTTAGCGGTATTTTCGATCACCATAAGGCAATTAACAATAATTTTAGGATTGTGCTTTAGATTCATAAAATTTTTATTAAAAAATATCAACTTACGTTTAAATGAACAAAAAATAACAATTTCATCATATACTTTCACCTGTATAAAATATTAGTGCCCCAGTCAATATACAGAGTGTTCATGGATGGGGTAGAAGAGGGAAAAACTTTTATTTTCCATTTCATGCGAACAAATTATTTTTGTAAAAAAAAATTCAACTTGTGCTTGAATGTACAATAATTTCGTTTTAAGTTAATCGATATACAGGGTGTCCTCTGCAAACAAACCATATTATTTATCTATGGGCGAGGTCCGGAACGTTTTCAAAATTGCAAAAATGTTTAAAAAATTTTAAAGAAGTGCCTGAGTTTTTTACTTATATCTTGGAACCTATGCATTTTGGAAGAATATTGAAGAGGAAAAAAAAGTTTTAGAATTGAATTTTGTACAGTATACTGTAAGTTAAAAATGTTTAAATTTATTACCGATGTTGCAAAATAGCAATGATTGATGAAAAAAGGCAAAATAATCAAGTTTTTTGGATAATTTTTTCTAAAAATTTTAATTGCTCCGAGGTCATTCTAATTTCGGTAAAAAAAAACTTTAGAGTACAAAAAAACAACACACCAAATTTCATTAAAATCGGTGTGGTAGTTTTCGCAAAATAATTTTTTGAAAAAATTTTGAAAAATATTTTCGAATTTTAAAAATGTTGCACAGCCTCAAATAACGCATCCAGATACTTGAACATTTTTTCACATAGAAAAGTCCGCTCAACCTTTCAAATTCTTTTTTCTCCCAGGTTTCGAAAAAAATCGCGCATGTTTCTATGGAGACAGAATTAAATTCCCGGTACGAAAAAAACCTCCTATATAACAACGACCCATCCCCATCCGCGCGCATTTTTTTATACGCCGATTATTGTAAAATTTTTCAGGCCTTCGCGGCAAGTGAAGTTACCAACGGTCTATATAAAACGTGTATTATACGGTGAAGAGTCTAAACAATTAAAACCCGCATAAATCGTGAGTTTTAAGTCTCGGTGATTATGGAATGTGCATATGGAATTTCCAGTTGGATGAATCAAGAATGTTGAAAACGCTTAATTCAACAAAATGCTTTTATGTGTTGGCCCTCGGTGAGATTGCATTTTTGCGGCTCTGTCCAGAAAGGCTTATCAATGTCCGAGTGCTGGACTTCTAATTGCTAATTCGTTTTATCTTCATCATTCGTTTTTTTTCGCGCGAGCTTTTTTTATTCGCATATCAATTATAAAGGCAAAAAACGATCTTATTACGAAATATTTCCCCGGCTGAAAAAAAAATTGCGCCCGACTCTCCGAATATGACCTCAGGCTTATGAACACCCTGTATATATATAGTTTTATGTACACAGGATGGTTCAAAATTCAGTATAAAGAATTTAGGAGTGTATTTTTGAGGCCAAAATAATACTTTTTTTTCCTATAAACAAATGCTTAGTTTTCGATGACCTGAAAAATACGCCCTAAATTCTTTGTACTGAATTTTGAATCACCCGGTATAATTTAATACACCGTATTCAAGTACTGTATTATCGCCTTGATTTAGAAGCGCACTGCTTCAACGGTAACGGTTAAAGGCGATATCGGCTACTTCTGTGCAAATCGAACATGGTTTCAATAAAACTGAACTAAGCAGACATTATTCTACGAGAATAAAATAAATAACAGAAACGATCGGTTTCATGTATATAAGACTTCAAATTCCTCTATAATTTCGCTTTATATCACGGTCGAAAAATTTTAGGACTTTATGGTATTTCGCTTCCAAATACCAATAAAATTCTTAGCTCTCCGATGTCTAGTGATATATTTTCGATAAGTATGTAAAAATCTCGGCGCTCTCCCAACGCAGTTCATAAAACATCCCTCAACAAATAGCCTTTATTTTTAATACACTTTTACTAAGTCTAAATATAAGGAAAATTGAAATACCTAACTACAATTTTAATATTCAAATTAAGAAATAATAAAAATTTAATCTACAATAAAAAAACGATGCTTTTATTGTACTTGTGAGCCAATTCAGTTATGTATTAAAAATAAGAAAAGTAAGAATAATTACAGATATAGAAAATGTCAAATTTTCTTGATAAAAATTTCTTGTGGTTAATATATTTTTTTAGTCAATCACTAGTTTTTGTGAAAGGAAAACAAAGTGGTAATTTAATACACATTTTGTCTTTAAATTTCATACATGCTTAAAAAATTCAATAAGGTACAAATTTTTACTGTACTTTTGAAATAATGTAAAATAATAAAAATATTTATAATAAAATAAAATAAAAAATGTGGGGTGGAAATTTAAAAGATCTTGTCTTTCCAAATAATGTGAAATAACAATAAACATATTTATATGAAAGAAAAACAGAAATAAAAAAAATGCGAGGCAGCAACTGAAAATATTTTTAATGTACTCTTGAGCCAGCAAAATATGAGAGAAATAGAAATAGAATTTTAATGCTCCTACTAAAAATCTCGGAAAATGAATTTAAACAATTGACCGAGTTGTGCTTAATATTTTTTATGTATGTTAGAGGAAAACAAAGTGATGATTTTAATTTTCAAATATTCTTAAAAAATCACTAAGCAACGAATTAGACATGAAGCAAATTTTTACTATACTTTTGAAATAAGTGAAATAAAAATATTTATAGTAAAAAAATGTCAGGGGGCAATTTAAAAGTTTTTACTATACTTTCGAAATACTGTAAATTAACAATGAACCTATTTATATTAAAGAAAAACAAGAAATAATAAAAAATGCGAGGCAGCAAAGTTGCAACTAGATGAAAACATTTTTAATGTACTCTTGAGCCAGTACCTAAAGTATGAGAGAAATGGAAATAGAATTTTAATGCTTTTACTAAAAATTTCGGAAAATGAATTTAAACAATTGACCGAGTTGTGTTTAATATTTTTTATGTATGTTAGAGGCAAACAAAGTGGTGATTTTAATTTTCAAATATGCTTAAAAAATCACTAAGCAACGAATTAGACATGAAGCAAATTTTTACTATACTTTTATAAGTCAAATAATAAAAATATTTATAGTAAAAAAATGTCAGGGGGCAATTTAAATGTTTTTACTATACTTTCGAAATAATGTAAATTAACAATGAACATATTTATATGAAAGAAAAACAAGAAATAATAAAAAATGCGAGGCAGCAACTTAAAATTTTGAAGTTATAACTAAATGAAAATATTTTTAATGTACTTTTGAGTCAATTCCGTTGTGCTGTAAAATATAACACAGAGAAATAGAAATAGAATTTTAATACGCCTACTAAAAATTTCGGAAAATGAATTTAAACAATTGATCGTGTTGTACTTAATACTTTTTTGATGTATGTTAGAGGAAAACAAAGTAATGATTTAAATTTTCAAATATGCTTAAAAAATAAATCTCCAAGGAACGAATTAGACATGAAGCAAATTTTTACTACACTTTTGAAATAACGTAAATTACACAAATTTTAACAACTAACCCAAATGACTTCAACGTTTTTTTTGCACTTATGAGCCAATTGAAATAACTGTAATTGAATAAATATGGTAAAATTTTAATATTCCTCCCAAAAATTTCGGAAAATGAATTAAAATAACTTACTATTCGAGTCGAGGATAATATTTTTTTTAATCAATGACTAGTTTTATCGTTTATACCAGAGGAAAACGCAAGTGGTGATATTAAAACAGAATTATTCGGTATTGGGGTATTAAGGGACATTCCGATCAGTTTAATTTCGAAAGAATTTGCTTTATTACAACATAAATGAGTTGATAAAAAATAATGACGAAATCAAACCTCCAGGAAATAATATTTAATCCGTTTAGCGTCTCTCCTCGAAAAACAAAATTCTCCTTAGATCCTTCCTTCCCGGTTCCACTGTTTTTTAAACAGTCTTAAATGCCCCGAATAAGTGAAACGCTTTAGTCGCTTTATTGACGCTAATTAGCTTTTATTTTCCCGTCAAATAATTCCGGATATGGCGATCAATCATGAACACACGGATTTTTAAACAAATTCGCGCACGTTTCGAATAAAAAATTTTTTGTTTCGAGGCGGCGCGGTTCACAATAAAATCAAATAAAGTTGTGGGCGAATAGGACGATTTTTAAAAAGTGTTTAAAAACTTCGCAAAGTGAGTCGTCGCGTGTGCTAAAGCAACATAAGATACACGCTTCTTCCCTGGGCGAGAGGGGGGGGGATGCAAAATATAAATGGAACGAGTGAGTATATCGCCTTACCCAAATGAACAACAGAAAAAGACCGTGCGGGACACAGGACACAGAAACGGCACAGGCTTGCTCTCTGCGAACTTGTCTATAAATGTGGCTGTTACGGCTTAACCCGCTGCACAGTCGCGTGCTGCCGCCCGTAGGCGTGCGCCTCTCTGACCCCTCTCGACCCCCAATCTCCTGTTGCTTCTTTCAGTTAACTGTTCATCTAGATATACCCCCCCGATGAAAAATATCTCAAATAGTCCATGATGTGCTTATAACTTTTCTTCATACAGCCGATTTCCTAGTTTACTGCTAGCCGCGTCGCCCGCCGATAAGTTCCCGAACTTCGAAACGTACGTATCGAATGGTGGAAGTACCGCTCGTGGCTCGGCTGTGGTTTTGCGGTAACAAGTCAAATATTAGCAGATGTAAACACAGACAAAGGCGACGCATGCAGCCTAAAGCAGTCGTGTAAACTAACTGGAAACTCTTGTATGCGGCCTGGTGTGTAGGGGGGGGCCCCCTAGCCCATGACTTCGCAAATACGCGCGTCGAGAGTATCTCCCGGTCAGATGCGGAACAAAACGTTTTTACCAAAATTCTCCCACATACATTTCCTACAAGAAGAACTTTCTGCACTTCTGGAAAAGGTGCCTTTGCAGCTAAGGAGAAACCTACAGTTTCAGCACAAGGCCAGGATTGTGCACCAATAGACAGTTAGCTAACACTTTCCCAGGAAAAAGGATTGGGCTTAATGGACCTATTCAGTGGCCCGGAAAGTCACCAGATCTAACACCCCTCGATTTTTTTATGGGGGGTTTTTATAAAAAATAAGGTTTACAAACTTTAACTGTATTAAAGAATTATCGAGTTTAATCCTTTTATTTATTCTTAATGACATTTATGCATTTTAAACAACGAACATTCAATTATTTTCCAACGACTACTTGATCCTTCCACCGCTAATGTGATTTTTAGGTGGGGTTTCTTTTGAGACTGTTTTGGGCGATATTGCTTATAACTTTTAAACGGCAAGTATTGCAGAAAAATGTTATGCAAAAAGATCGTTAATAAACAATTTAAAAAAAAAGCAAAAATTAAGATTTTAGATTTTTTCTACATTTTTGACTCTATTTTTTTTTTTAGTAGAAGTAGGCAAAGAAAATTGCTGTACAAAAAAACTAGTTGAGGTTCCCTTCAAAATGATGCGTTTTCAAAAGTTTTTAGACTAATATTGACCGTTATAACCGGTCAAAGTTAAATATTTTTTAGATTTTCGTCGTTTTTAACATAATAATGATTATAATTCTTATTATTTTTACAACAAATTGGTTCTTTACTTAATAAAAAATTATTTGAAGTTTTATTTGTTAATAATAAATAAAGATTTTCACAAGTTAGTCATAAAAGTAAACAAAATAAAAAACTCTTATTTTTTTGCTTTTTTTAAAACTGTTTTAACGATTTTTTTCATACAATTTTTCTTTTAAATTTTTTAAATAAGCCATTTCGACGGTAAATTCAATTCTCTACAAAATTTTTCCTATGAACTATACCGAAATTTTGCTTCGTTTTCGTGCTATATTTAAAAAACTGCAAAAGTGCATTTTCACCCCTATCTTCAATTTCAACCCTCTAATTTAATAGCACCCCTCCGTTTTTTCATTTTTAATGACCCTTCGAACAAGTCACGTGATGAAAATCCTTAAACGTCTTATTTCCTTCCTCTTTTGAAAAAAATGAGAATTAAAACGTATAAGGATAAACGCGACGAAAATCGAAAAATTATAAGTTTGAGCGGCCATATATCAGTCAATTTTCATCCAAAAAAACTTTACAACCTCTTATTTTGAAGGAAATTTTATCTGCTTTTTTTTCTATGAAGCAATGCCTATACCTATCTTTACTCAAAAAAAACTAGAGGCAAAAGAGTAAAAAAAAAATCGAATTTTTTGCTTCTTTTTCAAATTGTTTATTAACGATTTTTTGCATAAAATTTTCCCTTTAAATTTTTTCAATTCTCTAAATAATTTTTCCTATGAACTATAGCGAAATTTTGCTTCGTCTTCGAGCTACAATTAAAAAACTGAAAGAGGTACATTTTCACCCCTATCTCCAATTTCCACCCTCTAATTTAATAACACTCCGCTGTTTTTTTTTTTATCAAAAATGACCATTTGAACCAAGAGCTTCTGTGCTTATTTATGAATCACCCTGTAATGATTCGAAGTAAAATCTCAAGTAGTTCCTAGGAATGAAAACAAAACCGAAACGTTCGCGCCCTGTACGGTAAATTTCGAACGAAACGGCCAAAATCATATTTGGCCGTAATTTTGTTGGTTTGATTCCGAACAATGGGAAGACCACTGTAAAGGTTATTTAAGTAGAACCGCCCCCGGCTACTTTCATATCCGTACTGACCACCAAAGCCAACTCACACTGAACGAAATTATTACTCGTCTATCATACAACGTTTTTACGTTTTTTTTTTCTAATTCCCGCACAACGGTTCGCCGTGTTTACCAAGTCGGTAAAGTTTCCCATCGTTTCGGATAACGAAATATTACAGGGTGGGACAAAATTATGTGGAATTTTGAATTTACTGTTCTGCTTTAGCATACTTTCTTTTTTACAAAGCGACACAAAAAGCTATTTAGCGATTGCGATGTTTTAAACAGAACACCCTGTAGATTCGACCAATATAAAAGTAATTTAAAAACAAAACGGAGTTTTCCTGTGGGCCTTGGGCCTATTGTTTTTTGTTTTGGAAATTTTTTCCATATCTTTACGAAAAAACAATGGAATTCGTTGAAAATTGGCACGGACAACTTTTTGAGTGTGCTAAATGCGTTAGTGTTGTTAGTCAGTCCGGTAGAGGTCGTTATCTATGTTCTTTCCAGATGACATTCTGACATATCTTTTTTGAGGTTAGGTTCCTTGCAAGATTGTATTATAACGTAAAATTAAAAAAAAAACGCAATTGGTTGGCCCAAAGTCAACCAACTGCTATTATTTCATACACAGGGTGTTCAGGAACGAATACGCCATGCCACAAAGTTAGCCTCCTTAGATGAGAATAAGCCGATTTAGATCAAGTTGCCATGGTACGGCCTTCAAAACAAAATGATTGATGAATTCGTATTAAAATAATAATAACCCAATTTAATTTAAAGAATAACCTTAGACAGCCTGTATTTTAAGAAAAAAACAGTTTAATTTTTTGACGCTCTTGCTTCTGAATTTATAGTGCTTTAGCTACAAAACACACTGTATATATACAAAACATCCTGATTAAAATATAATTGTACGTGAAATTTTTACTACTACTTTAAAGTTGTACATTGTAATTTTGTAAACGATTAGAATCTTGTGTTACTACAAAAATTTTAAGTTAATTCTTTTGCTCAATTTTTTGAAATACAAAAAATTATACAGGGCGTACCACTAAAGTCGGCGAGGTACGATATTAGAGAAAGCATAAGCGCTAGAGCTTCGGAACAAAATTTTGTCTAATAAATCAACCAAGAGAAATCGCTGGAAACAGTTTTCAAGTTCGTTGCTCGGCCGCTAGGGGCGCAATCTACGTACCAAAACATAGAGTTGAATATTTCTCAGAAATCTTTCCTATTCAGGTATATTAAATAGTACAAATATGGATAGCTGGTTTCATTGCGCATAACTTTTGTTATTGACATTTTGTTCTATCACTCGAGAAAAATTCCAATAAAAGTTGTTCAAAATTAAATTTCCTACAAAACTACTCCCAGGAAAAGTTTCGCCGTACCTAAATGCGGGTTTTCGAAGGAAAATAATAGGCAGAATTGGGTTTGTTAAAAAAATGTTGAATTATTTTCATTTGCCAAATGCATTAAACATCAGCCAGGAGGCCATGTTTGAAACATGTCGAGGCAGGCGATTAATAAATAGTTTTACAGAAGCAGGAATCTTGTCCGGCTGTCTATGAAGACCGCCTGAAAATTTGTGCACCGCGCCCCTTCCGTGTACCGCACTAGAATTACTTAAAATGGTACCTGGACGAATAGATCCGACAGCTCGTATGGCAGCAAACGAAAGAAACTTTCATTCGCATTAAAATTATGAAACAAAAACCAGAATAGAAAATATTTTGTTGAAAACATCCAATAATTTTTAAACGAAAAATATATTTTCCTCGTCTTTCGCGGTACGTGAAGGTATTGACGTCTTAATTAACGAAAATTGTGAGGCTACGTTAAAATTAAAAGTACATCACACGACGTAAGTACATGACACCACTGCGTACAATTTAATTAACAAGATATCTCAAGCCCTAAGTGTTTTGTCTTTGTGTCAGACACATACTACCTGTACTATGTATTTACTGCTTAATAATAATAAGCACTGCAGACGTTCACCCCATCGCCGCCTTATAAAGGCATCAAACTTAAAGACAGGGACGTAGACTGCTCTTAGTTATTAATGGTGCAGTGAAAGAATGCAAATAATAGCATATGTCTGGCAGCTACGAAACCAACTCCTCGAATTTAGGGTCCGTTGAATGCGCATCCCCCGCAATTGGCCAAAAACCACCCCTTTTTTGATTTTGGACCCCAGCAGTGCACTCTATATCCCTCCCCTCCTTTTTTCCTCACTCACAGTGGCGGGGATGTGGAAGGTAATCGAAAAATTTTTTATTTAAAAAAAAAACTGTCCGCGCCGTTTTCGATAAAATCGAGATATTTCGGAATCTTGTATATTTTACTACCGGTGTGAAGACAGCAGCCAAAGATATCTGCCGGAACCTACGAACTTACCCGAACGACCATAGGCGTACGTATCAAGAGGATTCACATATTCCGAAAATCAAAAGTGCCGTGAATTATTATCGAACGTTACTGAAATGATCAGGACGTTAATGGATATACTGTAATAATGAAATGAAAGCATGGCACTTTTGATTCACGGAATATACCGGGTGGGGCATTTATCTTGAGACGAAATACATAATATCTCGGTTGGATTCGATTATTTCCAAAAAAGTTTGAGAAAAAAATTGTACCACTGAAAGATCCATATTACGACTTCCGGCCTGGACCGGAAGTAGCGGTTTTTAGACCGGAAGTTGATTTTTTTAATGAAAACAACGGATTTTGTGAAAATGGAAAAAAATGCTTCTTATTATTTTTTCGATTTAACCCAGATTTTGGCCATAAAAAATAAAAAAAACAAGAATCTTGAGACAACGGAGCACCTTGTTGGGATCACTTTTTTTAAAAGAATGTTTCATACAAAAATTGTAGGGTGAAAAGGGGACTATCTTGACGTAACCTTGAAAATGACATTGACCTTGACTTCAAGGTCGTTTGAAGATCAAATTAAAAATTTTAACGGGACCCTCTTTTTTGACCTCGAATTACAAGGGCGATAAGTTTTACAAAAAGATTTGAACAAGATCAGATATCAAGGTCGTTTTAAGGTCGAAAAACTGTACAATTATCAACTACTTTTAGCACTACCCAGGAATAACGACCTGGACGTAGTAGTTTTTTCAGATTTCTGAAGTTTTTTACGAAGACTGAAGTGTGTAGGAGCAATTCTGACTCCGGATTCGTACTCAGGAGGCCAAAACCCTCCCGGTAGCATATTTAAAAACAATAATTCCAATTCAGATTGTTTTAGTGTAAAAAAAATAATAATTACTTAATTTAGAGGGGAACTTAAAGGGGAGATAATTAAAATCTTGTTTTATGGATCAGGTTTTATGAATTAAAAATTTTCTTTATTGATCTACGGATTTCTTTGAAAAGGCATAATTGATTTTTTGTTTGCATTTTCGTTTTGAATTCGTGATTTTTAAAATTGAAATAAGCGACATTAACTCCATTTCATTTATCCTAACTTTCTGCTCAAAGTAGGTAATAATTATACAGTCTTTCGACCTTAAAACGACCTTGATATCTGATCTTGTTCTTCAGGTTAAGTTCATATTTTATTGTAAAATTTTGAATTTGATCTTCAAACGACCTTGAAGTTAAGGTCAAGGTCATGTCAAGATAGTCCCCTCAAGATTCTTGTTTTTTTTTTGTTTTTGTATGGTCATATTATGGCCAAAATATGGGTTAAATCGAAAAAAGAACAAGAACAAAAAGTATTTTATTTTCGTTTTTCATTCGAAATCCGCGGTAAAAAATGGGCGTTCCCATAAAAAAAATCAACTTCCGGTCTAAATATATCACTTCCGGCCTAGACCGGAAGTCGTAATATGGCTCCCTCGGTGCCCTACAATTTTTGTATGAGACATATTTCGAAATTATCGAGTCCAACAGAGATATTATTTTGCCTCGGGATAAATGCCCCACCCTGTATATCAAAGTGCAAAAAAATTTTGTCATTTATATCGAAAACGTTGGGGATTATCGATGTCGAACAAATGCAAGCACATTTTATATGTCTGTTGAGATTCGACTAAGAAAAATTCACTATTGTAGATTAAAAAAAACTGAAATTATTTCACTAACTAGTTTTTAAGTTATTTAATTTTTTTTTTTTAAATTTGAGGTTTAAAACCTTGTATCTTTTTAACAAACGCTACATAAAAATTTTACAGAAAATACCTCTTAAAATTCACCATTTGTAAATCACCCTGTATGTTTTTTATTGAATATCATCAGATGGAAAATGTTCGGACAACCTAAAATGATCATCTTGGTAATTCATATATCTATTTTGGACTTTTTGAGAAAAAGTGTTTTATGAATAAATTCAAATTAAATTGAATTAAAAAAAATATATGCATTTCAAAAATATTAAATAATACAGGGTGTTTTACTTAATAAAGGTAACAAATAGTAGTCACGTATGTGATGTTCAAATCAAATCCAAAAATTAATTAATCATATGGATGGACACTTTCTAGCAAACCCTTTTTTCGGAAACGGGAAATGTCCATATATAAATCGAGTGTATATTGGGCAGTAGATACAGCGAAATATTAAGAAACCTGTATTAAATAAAATTATTCAAATGGCATATAAAATCAAAATATAAAAAAGCCTCGAAAATTTTCAGATCAAAAGTTATGTTTATAGAAAAATCTCTAAAACTAAATAAAGGAACAAATTTAAAAAATCCTACCTTTTCCATTGATTTGAGATCCAATTGTATGGACAACCGATGAGGAAAACAAAGGGGATCTGAAAAAATAATGTAAATTTACCATCACAGTTTAAGGGATCATATTAATGTTTCTGACAATAACATAGAAATCGTTTAGTTTAACAGAGATAATAAATAAATAAATAAAAATAAATTTAAATTGTTCTCTCAACCGGTCAATTTTTTAATATAATTCGAACACAGTCCCACAAAACAAATTGTGCTCTATTATGATTTACGAATAATTAATATTTAAATTTATTATTAACTAAATTAAGTACCTACATAAAATCTTCATCTATGACTCTCATTTACGTGTCATTGTCAATATCGATTCCCCTTTAGTAAAATTATTATAATCTTACAGAAAATATTTAGCATAATTCACCACACACGCGACACACACATCGCGAACCAACTAGTCGAGCAGTCAAAAATAGTTATTCTCGTAAGAGAAACAGTTTTTATCGGCGTAGGCTACATACTTTTTATTAGTTTTTTACTCGCACGCCGTTACGCCACGTACAGGGCCGTACTCTCTTCGTTGTGCGTAAAGAATTGAGTCTATGGGTTTGAGGCTCCGAGAATATATCGGTTGATCACATAACGCGACTATTTTTTATTTAAATACAGGACGTATTATAAAAATGAATAATTAAATTAAACACGGTTAAAACAAGAAATATTGCCCGAAATAAATTTTCCCGGTTTTACTGCGACTACAATTAAGTTACTGTTTTATACCAAAAAATGAAGATGAAAAATCATGGAGATCTCGTAAAAATTACTGGGCGTGATTTTATTGTTGGAAAGTCTTAGGAATGATAATACAAAAGGCGTCTCATCAAATGGGTCATGAAGTATATTTTTCGTTCTACGCGTTATTATAAAAAAACTATTAATCTTAGCAAAAAAGTTCAATAGACGATTTGATTTAGAGGAACTCATCTTTAAAATGAGACTATAAGTTAAAATTGCTTTATAAACGGAAAAAGTGCTTTTTCTTTAATTGTTAATAACTTTTTAAATAATTAATAAAATCTTACTAAACTTTCCCAAAATGTGAGTTTTTATATCCTTAAGAGATGTGCAAAAGATGGGCTCGATCGGTCAAATAGTTATTGCAAAATTCCATTTATTTATCCCATTTTTGCAAAAAAAGGCCCATTTTCAAATGACTATTCCGGGGGCAGGGTTATGACTAAAACATTCTTTTTGGACTCATTTTCTTCGAAGGGACACCAAATATCCTATAGTTGAAAAAATAATATTTTTTTTTCAAATTTAGTTGTATATAATTGTTACCAAATAGAAGGCACTTTTTTCCCTAATAAACAAATAAAATAACTACGCGGTTTTTAACTTTTGAAAGAAGTTATATACACCATTCGAAAGCTCGTAAAAAAACCTACAAATTGAAAAAAAAAACAAGTTTCTTCGACCAATAGGTCCGGAGTTAGCAATTTTTTTTTTAAATCACAGAGTTATAAACATTAAGACCTGAAATTTTAACATTTTGTAAATGAAAGTTTAAACTTTATGCCCTGTTAATTTTAATTGAATTTGCCCATAATTGATCAATCCAGAGCCCGTCAAAGTAGGGGTACGCAGCAGTAACCCTTCAGGGAGTGGTGGTGGGGGGAGCTTCCTCTCGACCAGGAAAAAACTGACAATGTCAAATTTGTAATATCTCAGCTTCTATGTGACGTAGAACCTTCTTTTTGTTTTAATTTTGAGGTAGCTCGACGAAAAAATAATTCTGGATTATTTGTACCCTTGTAAAACCACCCCCTATCCCCTTAAAAATGAAATTTTCGAAAAATGCATTTTTTTAATTTAAAATGTTTTAGATAATAGTTCTCAATAAAAAAAAACGTTGTAAAAATTATTTTAACCCTTCAAAATTAATTTAACCCCTTCAACCCCCAAAAAAATCAAATTTATTTTTATTTTTTCATACTTTTTATATGATTATGGATTTTGTATATTGATTAAAGGATTAATTAATTTGTAAAATTATTATTAATACATTTATTTATAATTAGTATAAAAATATATAAAATATTTCCATAGAGACTGACAGTAGAATTTTTTTTTTACAATTCATAATAAATTTCAACTTCAATTTGGGGGAATGTGAGAAAACCTCAAAAAATTTTGCTTTCCATTTTAATCATGATTATGAAGTGTTTAAGCTCAAAAAACGTGACCCTTTAATTTTTTTTCAAAAGTTTGACTGTTTGAAACAAAGAAAAGGTTCGCTAGAACGAGATGAAACTTCACAGGGTTCTTCTGGGTATATCGAACTGTAAAAGTCATGCTTAACATTAGTCATTTCGTGAATATTTCTAATTTAGCCGTTAATTTTCTAAAAATCCATAAATCACCCTTTTTTTCCTGTTTTTCAAAATTCGTGTAAAAGATGAAAAAAAAATTCCGAAAAGTTGCGACAGCATATTATAGGACATTTATTCCCGTTTTCGAAACTGTTCTTCAATTCTCTATACGACCATTTGTCGCCGAGATATCGATGATTGAATACAAAAGGATCCTTTTCCATTAAAAGTGCGATATTTCGATGAAAAATGGTCGTATCGAAATTTAAAAAAAAGGAAATTGAAGCTGAACAAACCATGCAATGGTTTAGCTGAAAAAATTTTTCCAAGTCTGTGGTCTCCGGAAAAAAAAAATTTGCAAAATTTTTTTGTCGCCCTATTTCTTAGAATTGCATGATAATCGTAGCTCCTAAAAAATTTCGACCGAAAGATCTAAAAACTAGAATTTTAGAGCTTCAAAATGCTTTTTTTTATTCCCGGTACGACCATTTTTCACCTAAATCACGGAAAAATTTCGGAAATTCTTTTGACCTTTTTTGCATTAGTGTAGTTGCTTAAGTCCTAAAAGTTAAGGGCTACGTAATTTAATTAAATTTTCGAAATATGAAAAATGTGAGTGTTGTCGAAAATACCAAATAGTGAATTCTTTCTATCCTACTAATTTCACATTTTTGAAAAGCGTTTTGTAATAATGTATAATTGACTTACGCGGTTTCTTAGGAGAGACGATTTTTTTTATGCTATACGTAGAAGTACAGTTAAAACAAAACCGCTACGAAGGATTCAGTGAAAGAAAATAGCATACTTAGTGTCAATTCCACAAGTAAGTGTATCCGTAACATAAAATTTGATTGATGAACTCAACAAACAAAGCCGATGTGGTGTGAAAAGTGAATCAACAGAGAATATGCATACGCAAATCTTGTATCCTGTGGTATTTAACTTTCCCGACGATAGCCTTTGCCTATATTCCGGAAGAGCTGTTGCCCCGTACTATTATTCAGCGAGCAATTCCAAGTCTACATTTACAGACTTCATCAATCACTGTTTTAGCTTCGAAGTTGTCTATTAAGTACGGAGAGGAGAGCTCATTACTTGGGAAACAACGCCCGCCTCTAACCAATATAAATTCGCTTATATCTCCTATTTGCA